TTATAAAAATAAAAATTTTATTTCTCTTATTTAAAATAAATAATATGATATAGGCCGACGTGTAAGTTTATAAGCTCGACATATACAAAAAAGTCTATGAACTGTTCTCTAAATAGATTTTTTTTTAAAGTGTAGACCTGTTCTATTTTACAATTTGTAATAGGCCAAACCTTATCTAATATAGGCTAAGCCGTATGTAAACCGGCCTAGTCCATTTAGACCCCACCTAGATCACATATAAATGAAGGGATTGATCCTCGAAATAGAAAAATCTGAGAAGACCCATACATTGTCATCTGCATCTTTTCTTTTCAACGGCTCTCGTACAAATAACATCACAATTCTGACAAACATATGAACTGCAAATTAAGCGTCAGGGTAAAAAGGAATTTCCATATGACCACTGGGAATTTCCATTGACATAGACAATGCCTGTTTCAATGACAGTGTTCTTTTCCGTAGTGAAGGGCTCGGTGAATTCCAATGTAGACAAAGAAAGCGCTCCACGTCATAACAAAAAAGGAAACCAAGTTAGCCTGCAAAAACGTCGATTATGAAATTAAAGGATGGTCCCAATGGTGAGGTTGAGTATCCTCTAGACAACTAAGAGTTGATTGAGAACGATTTTACGTATACGGAAGGATTTAAAAACCTTTTTGGTGTAGATATTATTCACTGGAATACAATTGTCTTCCTTGAAAGGTTGGCTGTGGTTTATCAAAAATAAAAATAAAAAATCCGTTTGCTGTACTAAGCAAATTAAAAAAAGTTTGATTTAACATAACTAATCAAACACGTATAGCACCATGTTAAAATCCATTAGCCACATAAGATGAATAGGAAAAGTTTGGATGAGCTCTTTTTTAGAAAAAAAAAAAAACACTCTTCAGGGAAAAAAAAGTCAAAAACATGCTTTGTTTTTTTTAGAAGCTAAACATTTTGCCTTTTAAAAAAAGTAAAAGTCTAAAGTCAAATATTTTTTAAAAGATTTAAATAGTTTTATCTTTTGTAAAAAACACTTTTAAAATAAATAAGGCATAAAAAACATTTTTTTTTTTTAGTTTTCTAAATCATGATGTTATGTATGCCGTTGATGTCGACATATATACTTTTAAGTTTTAAAATATTAAATACGTAAAGTTTTTATTTAATATTTGTTGGTTTAAATAAATTTAATATAGATGATATAAAGCATACTCACCCACCCGTTTTGTTTTCATGCACGTGGTGGCAGTTAGAAGAAACTTCCATAGAACAACAACCATATTAAGTAACTAGGCAGAAATGATCCATAACTCTCCCCTAACTTAATAATTAGGCGGCGCCATATAGTGTTCCAATTCCAAAACCCTTTTGTATAAGTTGGACCCGTTTTTTCCTGTCATTGATTAGTTGAAATAGAAATAGAGGGTTGAGAAATAACATGCTTTGCCATTGCCAGTGCACCATTCTCACCAACTTGCTCTCCCTTCCCTTTCTTTGGTCAAAGTATTAATACTGAAAATCATCCAGCTAATACTCGTATCCGCTAACTTACCCTCATTAATGCCAAGTTTTTTGTGTTTTTTAATCTTGGCGGCCAAAATTTAAGCCTAAAATGTAAGTAATCGGTTAATTTTAGAAACTTTTGTAATTTATAGTTTAACTACTTGATGCTTTTATCAAATCATGTATATTAAATTTATATAAGATGTACATGTATAAAGATCAGTTGATTTTATATTATGTTTTATGATTTCATAAATTTTAAAAATTACGTTGTTGAGTTTTAAAATCTTATTCTTCTTACATATATAATTTATACTTAGAATACATTCTTTACATTTTAGGTAATATTTCATGACAACATTTAATGACCGCGCTATCCTTTGCTTCAAGTGAAGCAACGAAAAGGTTAATTGTAGTGAAACATGCTTAAAATATATATTCTTAGACTGCGCATGACAATCATTTTAGTTCCTGACACTATTTTTGAAAAAAATGATTCTTTTCTATTTATGTGTCTTGGAAAAGTTCTGAGAATCAGAATTACGTTTGTTAATATATTTTATTTTTATTCCGAGAATCAGAATTACGTTTGTTAACAGATTTTTTTTTTCATTTTGAGAATTAGAATTACGTTTGATAACACAATACAAATCTATTTCTTTACTTTTGTTTATAGATTTCATCAGTTGTATAAAATACCAAAATGAGCCCTAACCCCAATTTCAAAAATCATTTATGTGTAATCTTTGAAGAGCCCTAACCCCAATTTTAAAAATCCCAAAATTTCATCAAATTCTGATCAGAGGTTATATAAGAAGAAAAATTAAATTACAAAATAAGCAGTTAATCATACCATTACACGAGATTCATCAAGACGAAGAGGTGAGGAGCATACCTGTTGTTCTTGTGTGAAGGAGAAAGACCTGCAACTGGGAACGCAAGAGAGAGAGAGAGAGAGAGAGAGAGAGAGAGAGAGAGAGAAGGGAAATGAAAGGAGACCAAGAACTTTTGTGGTGAAGGGATGGGTAGTGGTCCGGTGATATGTGGTTGAAGGCCAGTGACGGTTCGGTGTTGGCGTGTGAGCGGGAAGGAAGTCTTGAGAGTGAAAGAAAACAGATTCTCTTTCTGTGCCCTAGAACAGAGAATCAGAAATTTTTTGATTCTTTTTTTTTGTTCCCAACACAAAAAATAAATCGATTTATCTCGGAAATAAAAAAATAAATCGATTTTGTCAAACGCAATTCCTACTCATTTTTTTTCCCAGGAACAAAAATAATAAAAAAACTCATTCCGGGAATGTTGTTATGCACAGTGCAAATTCATTCTTAGTTTTCCTTTACTATTTGGATGAAAGAAAAGAAAGTAATAAAGAAATAATGTTTACCAAAATAAAATAAAATAAGTAAATCTTAAAATTTGAAATATAGAAGAAAAAAATTGAAGAAATTTTTTTACAATTTTTTTTTTATCTTTTAGAATTTTCTTTTGTTAGAGAAATATAAAAAAACCACTAAAAATGACCTTCATCAAATAACTTGAGCTTTTAGGTGAAACAATTTTTTACATCACCAATCTCATTTTTAGAGTTACCCAACCCTAATTATCTCTTTGAGATGAGTTGGCTCCCTCCGGTATCCCCACGAGCTTCGACTCTTTGAGCCGGCTATGGGACTAATCCGGAGTGCGGGGGAACAGTGATGACTAAAGGTTCAGCCCCCTCCCCAAGAATGCATTCAGCGGGAATCGAACACATATCCAACCCTACTAATTCAGCGCCAAATTACCAACTGAGCTGCACCCATTGGGTGCATCACCAATCTCATTTGTTGGCCTAATACATTGTCCATCCTTTAAACCTAATAAACTCTTATGTGAAAGAATATGATAAAGAAATATAATATAAAATTATTGTGTTAATTATTTATCATATTTATCATTATTTTTCTTTAACCAAATAAGATAAAATATTTCCTCTGTGTTTTCTTTCTCTCAATCCAAACGTGGATTAAGAGTGCAATGATGAGATTTTAGTGTTAGATTTTTAAATTTTATCAAAACATATCATTATTAAATAGTTACTCAAACGTGTATTTTTTCTTTTATTACATTGAGATGACATAAATCATAATGAAGCATTTCTAATGTGAATTCATCTTTAAAGTAAATAAATAAAACAATAATATTTTAAAATTTTAATAAAATAAAATAAAATAATAAAACATCTTAAATTAAATTAAAAATAAATATAACTTACATATTTTAACTATACGTTTATTTTATAATGCTCAGAACAGTATTTTGAAGAGATCGCTGACATATCTTTATCTAAGATCTGAGAGGCACTGTGTCACCACTCACCAGCCAACCACATAGCGCATTTACTACGCTGCAAGTATGCTGAGTTGGAGGTTAGGCAGCAGAACGTGTGGTGGTGTTTTTTGTCATTGATGACTTGATGTAGATTTAAATTTTCCACTGTTAATTGTAATTATAATGAGATTAATATTGTTAATATTCTAAGAAATAATTTTATTTACTTTACATATATAAAAATAGAGAAAATGTATTCTCATGTGACATAAAAAATTGTGTTGTCTCCCGTGCACTTAACTCCAAGTGGGATCTAATAGAAAAGAAAAGAAAAGAAAAAAAATGAAAAAAGAAATAGCACATGTTTCAATGTATGAGTAGAAGATAGGAAAAATTCTATGTGGCAGAAGACTAGCATTGTACATAAAAATATATAAGATTTATATATATTTTTTTTCTTTTTTCGAATCGTTTTTTCAAAAAATACGAGACATCTAAATCATACAAGTCAAGCGATTTCATATGACTCCACATATTTATATTTATATGTAAAAAATAAAATTATCTCTTATAACATGAAAAATATTAATCTCCTATAACATATATGTAATTGAATACGATAACGATCCACGTATGGAAAAGTATTGTAAGAACATTATGTAATATGTATATCTTTTTCATTGTAACTAGGAATCTCTGTGGATACGGTTACCTGCTTGGCTTCCCTCTTCCATGGAAGGTTGTCCTATTACGCGGCAAGTCAAATGAACTAAAAATGAAATTATTATTAATATATCATATTATATTTTTAACATGTTTCTGCACACCAAAGTGTATTTTACTTGAAAGATGGATAAAATATATATACTCATTACCTATATAATATTCACAAAAAAATTATTATGATATCATATCAAGTAATTAATTGTCATAAAAAAATTTAATTGGTTGAAGATAAATGAATAATTTTATATATAATATTATATTTTTAATGTAGGATAATGATGTTTCAACCTTTAACCTTACGTAAATTATCCAAGTTCCTAATCCACTAATCCTGCGTTTAAAATATTTTTTTCTAGTGAGAAAAAAGATGTTTAGGAGAGAGTACCTTACTGTATTGGTTCAAACTTCAAAGCATGATCTGCTGCGCTTATAAATAGGGGATGGGAGAATAAATGCATAATTAAGTTGTGGCCAAACACAGAGATAGAGTTTCCAATTAAGAAAGGATAAAAAGACACTTTTCCATTACAGAAACGAACCTCTCCTCCCATTGTTTTTCCTCTTTCTGATATTCTTTTTGGGTATTGGATCCTTTCCGCTTACTCTTCTTGGCCAGTACAGATTTTTGGGACTCTATTGGGTTTTAGTGAATACAGTAAAAAAAAAAATATATACTATAGGTGCCTAGAAGGCTAGAAGGGAGGTACTATGGTATTGAGCATTTACATTTGACAAGGGAAAAGGTGAAACGGATAATAGAAGATTTTAGAGGATCTTATTTATCATATAGTGTAGTGAAATGGGTGCTCCTTTATCAGCCTGGCCATGGGAGAACTTTGGAATATTCAAGGTACAGTATGATCGATGCATCTTCGTGCTTCTTTATTTGTTATGATAATTTTAGTGGTGGTACTGATATGGGCTTTATGTTTTCAATGGATAGTATCTGTTATATGGGCCATTTGTGGCAAAAGTCCTTTATGAAAGGTTCTATGATGAGGAACACTCCAACTCCAACAACTTGAGCTGGTGTCTTCATTTGCTCATACTATGTGGTCTCAGAGGTCTAATTCATACCCTTTGGACTTGTTATGGTAATATGCTTTTTCTTGTTAGAAATCGAAGGATTGTTCAACAGGGGGTTGATTTCAAGCAGGTTGACAAAGAATGGGACTGGTAAACTATGGTTCTTTTTTTTTTTTTTTTTGTTAATAAAATTATATTATGCTGAAAATATGTTATCATACATGTATGTATGTATGTATGATTAGTGTTTGTCCTATTTGTTTATTTTTCAAACAGGGACAATTTCTTGATTCTTCAGGCACTAGTTGCCTCCATAGCCTGCTACATGTTTCCCTTTCTTCAACATCTCCCTCCCTGGAATGTAAAGGGTCTTATTGTTGCTCTGATGCTCCATGTGGGAATCTCAGAGCCACTTTATTATTGGGTGCATAGGAGGTTTCATGGAGACTATCTTTTCACCCATTATCACTCACTTCATCATTCATCTCCAGTACCACAGGCATTTACTGGTGAGAACCATAGATACCCCATCTTCATTTTATTCTGATTTTGGAAATGATTTGTTCAAAAGGAAGACTAGTTGCAGAGATGTTTATTTTGTTCTAATTTTTTTTAATATCTTGTGTTCATTTCAAACTACTTGTTAATCTTGCTTTGGTGATTGAACATGACCTGTATTGCTGCAGCTGGAAATGCAACACTTCTGGAGCATCTGATTTTGACGGCAGTGATTGGAATCCCTATCCTTGGGACTTCTGTGTTGGGATATGGATCAGCAACCTTGATATATGGTTATGTTTTGATTTTTGATTTCCTGAGATGCTTTGGCCATTGCAACGTTGAATTTGTTCCACATCAGTTGTTCGAGATATTTCCAATTCTTAGATATGTGATATACACGCCAACGTAAGTTAATTTAAAACTGATGCACCCACTGAGTCACAAGTACAAATCTCAGTAACTGGATTCAGATATTTAATTGTAGAACTTGACATATGAGAGCCCGCATTGATTTCTGTTTGTGTCTTGGTGAGACAGGTTAAAAGCATTTACTTTTTGACCAAATGCAAATGAACCATAGTAGAATAGGTCTGGGACTTTAGGTTCGTTAGGGGCATATTTGGATGTTAGGTTCATTAATATTCCCTTCTTCTTTTTTTGTAGAAATGATTTTCTTCCTTTTATTTGGACGTTTAATCTCCTTCAAAATTTATTTAAATTACAAGAACCTTGAAAAAAAAAGAAGGGATTATGGATAATTGCATGAAAATCACTTATTTCCATTTCCTCTTTTTATAAACCTCTCAAACAACATGAATGTTTACCAAAATGCTTCTATTACTCTCCCTTCTTCTCGATACAAACATACTATTAAGAGAGAGGGAGAGTAAAATAAAGTCCTAAAGTTAACAGTCTAAGATTCTCTCTTGTGAAGAGAGGAATTGAAGTTTAAACAAAGGGTTTTATAAGAATTATGTTGTAGGAAAAGTGATTGTGTAATGTTATAGAGATTCGTTTTGCGTGCCATAATTTTTTATTTTTCTTTTTTCTTTAAAAAGTGTGGGCATCACAAAATGTTATGTGTGTAGAAAAGTTTGTTGTGTCATGTTAAATGACAAATGCAAACCCCTTAAACAAATGGTCCACAAGAATTGAACTTCTACAAGTTTTGGTGCCATATTTAAGTTGGAAACTATTATTTTATTTGAGGACTAAGCTACTAAAGATTTTTTTGGCTTCAAGCCTATTTAAATTTCCGTCACATAATTTATTTGGCTTCTTCCTTTTTCTGTTGCAACTGTCAGAAGAATGGCATAAGAAGTGGACATGCGTTTTCTACATAGTGGTCCAGCTATAAGTTCAAATTAGATTGTCCATTTCCCATCTTACCATGTACTTGTATATATATATTTATTTGCTTTCTATGCTATGCAGATATCACTACCTACACCACACTGATAAGGACACTAATTTCTGCCTCTTCATGCCTCTCTTTGACGCACTAGGCAATACGCTTAACAGCAAATCATGGCAATTACACAAAAAATTAAGTTCAGGTTCAGGTAAGCTGTCTTATGATTATGATTGACTTCATCTAAATAATATGTTTCATTTTGACTTCAACACTTGATGTAAAGCTTTGCTGAGTCTTTTTCACTACTAGTTATATACATTCCCACTTTTTGCGGAAGTGCTAATATTCATCTACGTATATGAAAAAGTTGTGTTTGTAATTTTATCAATGCAGGAAACGGTGGTCCCGTACCGCATTTTGTTTTCCTGGCACATGTAGTGGATGTCACAGCCAGTTTGCATGCTCCGTTCGTCTTTCGATCCATTGCTTCATTGCCATTCACAACAAGGCTTTTTATGATTCCATTGTGGCCTTGCACCTTCATAGTTTTGCTAGCAATGTGGGTTTGGTCCAAGACCTTTTTAATTGCTTTCTACTACCTCAGAGGTCGACTACACCAAACATGGGTTGTACCTAGATGTGGCTTCATGGTGGGTCTATAGTACACTCATCAGTATGAAATTTGCCTTCATTTTTATTTTTTTTTCCATCATGAAGGCTGAAAAAGAATAGCAAGTATTGAAATTTTCTTCTTTTTGAATACTCTATACAGTATTTCTTGCCATTTGCTACTGAGGGAATTAATAAGCAAATTGAGCAAGCTATCCTCAGGGCCGATAGAATTGGGGTTAAAGTCATTAGCCTCGCTGCATTGAATAAGGTTTGCCATATTGAACAACTTCTCTTGCTATTTAATTTGACAAGTATAGTAAAATAAACTTGATTTACTTTAATTCTGTCGTTCTCTGACCATAGTTGTTGAAGGTTTTAATTCCTTGTAAGGTAGATCCCTGACACCTGAGAACACTATCTAGTACATCATAAATTGCCGCATAGGAATGGTGGACCAGCTTTATAACTTGTGAAAGGAATTTAAACATTGCCTCCCATTTCTAGTCTAAGCTATACATAGAATGAAAACAGATATATAGAGAATATTCCATTCCATGATAAGCCGTTTAGGATTTTAATCCACAGCACCTGTTTTAAGTTACTCGGGCATAAATACTTTCTAGTTTCTAGCTTTCCATGGATATCGACTTATTCTATTTTTACATGGGGCTTCAGTATTACCAGTTCCATGGTGTATTATATAATAACAGTAATAAATTATCTAATGAAACATTTATATCCAAGGTACAGTGCAGATCAGTTATTTTATCATGCTTTTAGCATAGTAGGGTCTAACTATCTGAAATTGGTTATCTAGTTACTTATAAAGAAATATGTGCTATTATTACTCTCTTATCATAAATTTATCATACTTCACTGAATACAGAATGAATCCCTAAACGGAGGTGGAAAGCTTTTTGTGGACAAGCACCCAAACCTTAAGGTTCGAGTTGTTCATGGGAACACCTTAACTGCTGCTGTCATTCTTAATGATATCCCAGAAGATGTGAAAGAGGTGTTCCTAACAGGAGCTACATCCAAGCTTGGAAGGGCAATTGCACTCTACCTTTGCCAAAAGAAAGTCAGAGTTCTGGTAAAATTTCTTCCAGACCCCACTTTTCAAATATTTTTTCTTTTCTTTACCTCATTGCTCTTCTAAAAAGCGTGGATCATAGTTATAGATAACAGTTTTATTGTTAATTATTGTCTCTACTCTCTAGTCCATTTCATTTGTGCAATATTGCTGTTTTATATTAAAATGAAGGAAAAAATGTTTGCAGATAACTTATCTGCATTTATTCCTAAAACGACGTCGTTTTGGTATTGAAATCTTAAAAAATTATAAATATAAAGACTATTATAACCCTAAAATAAACTAAAATTACAAAAACACCATGATTTCCGTCTCAAAACGACGTCGTATTGGGCTTACTGCAGATAACTTGTCTGCAGTAACTGCAGAAGAAGCAAACCCTAAAATGAAACTATAATTGGCTAACAAGCAATGCACAAAGTCCCTACTTGCAAAGGTGAATGGCATTAAGGGAAGTTTAATGATTGTGTTGCCTATTAATACGGGAACTAACTTGTCAAAAAGAATTAAAAAATGGTGAGGTTTTTTCTTTCAAACGGTAAATTGATATAAAACGTGTTTGAGTTGAATTAGTAAATAGTAATGGCAATGGTGATGCTAGGATAAAAATTGGGGAGGGGTATATGAAAAAAGAGAGCTAAAGAATGAAGATGTAAAACTGAAAGAGCGGGTTAATAGGTTAAAAAGGGAAGGAAGGATTCACAAGAAAAAAGCAAAGTCAACACAATACTTGTCCACCTGTCTCCCCTCTAGCCTATTACTTTCGAACAAATTTTTAGTGCAAACGATACACACATACTCAGTGCAACGGTGATATTATATTATGTATTTTGGAGAGTATATATTTATAATATTAAAGTTATTTTTTTTATTTTTTTCTTTAAAAACTTGTCCGCTGACGTGGAAAGAGAAAAAAAAATAACTTTAATATTATAATTATTATTCACCGAATTACATAATTACAATGAAGTGGTTTCACTAAAAATTTATCCATTACTTTCATTGTTTGATTGAAGGGAAGGGTAGCCTTTTAATAAATGATGTATATAATTTGATATTAAATATAATATAATGTAAATTGAATTTGTTTATACTAATTCATTATTTGTTAGATCTAATATACTGTAGTGCGAGTCTAGAGCAGTGTAAAACTGTTCCACTGAAAAATCACAGATTCGAACACAATTACTAAAAGGCTGAGAGCTACTTTGCAGATGTTAACTCTTTCAACGGATAGATTTCAGAGGATTCAAAAGGAAGCCCCTCTTGAATACCAAAGCTACCTTGTCCAAGTGACAAAATACCAAGTAGCACAAAACTGCAAGGTACTTCCATGCCATTATTATTCTCCACCGGTTCTCTTTATACACAGCTCAAATTGTTAACGATTCTTCTTATATATATGCCAATATCCTTGGCCCCATGTTTAATAAGGTTTCTTATATATATACACTCAATTCAAAAAATTAAATCACCACGTAATTTCCTTGATCCAGACTTGGATTGTTGGTAAGTGGATCACTCCAAGAGAGCAAAGCTGGGCACCACGTGGAACCCATTTTCATCAATTTGTTGTCCCACCCATTTTCTCATTTAGAAGAGATTGCACTTATGGTGATCTAGCGGCCATGAGATTACCAGAAGACGTGGAAGGCCTTGGATACTGTGAGGTGAGAAATCAACTTCACCAATATCTGTCACATTTATTTTCTCATTCTCAATAAACAATAATCACTTATTATTTTTTGTTCATTATTTTTTGTCTAATGCAGTACACTATGGAGAGGGGAGTAGTTCACGCATGCCATGCAGGAGGAGTGGTACATAGTCTTGAAGGTTGGTCTCATCATGAAGTTGGAGCCATAGATGTTAACAGGATCGATCTTGTGTGGAAAGCAGCACTCAAACATGGTTTAAGGCCCGTATCAAGAACCACACAATAATTTATTTTTTTTCTTTCTTAAATAAAAAAAAGAAATTAAAATCCTTGTTAATTAAGTATCTTTCTAAATTTCTTTCTTCTGTGTTTTGGTATATTGCACATCATCAAAGTGGCCATCAAAGCGTGGTTATATTCTTCAAAGTCGCTGTACTAAGTTACTCATATTTATTATATGTTCATATGATCACTTTCACAGTGATTCATAGTATAGATGATGCGAAAGCAAACTATCCTGATTACTTTTATATTTTTTAAGATTTGCTCTTATATTCATTTCATGCATATATTATCATGGAAACGAATTAGTAATTGACAAATGGCCAAAGAGGTTGGAAAATAAGAAATTATTGAAGAGGGAAAAAAAAAACCCGTATTGCAACCGTTCATGAAATAAATGGAGCCAGAGAAAAGTGGATGCTTAAGGCTTAAGATAATATCTTACTTTTTAATTTTCAAAGAGATCTGAAATGGACCTGTTATGACTTTATCTATATAGTTGCTAGCATTAATTATAAACCTCTGAATTAATAACTTGTTCAATTATTATGAAAAGCTAAGATCTAGCATATCGGTTGGTGGTTATTTGTTGGATTCTTGACCATTCAATTTCTATGGCACAACAATTATTGTGATACAAGACCTAATAAAGCTTCAAACTTCCAGTAAGTATCTATAATTCTCAAATTTCCCATAGCTATCAACGTAATGTGGGCTCCCTCAATCTATTCACTGATGCACTATTGATTTCCCAAGGATTCTTCATTAACTAATCTATTTATTTATCAGTATAAATAGTGGCTATCCACTTTAGGCCCAATAAGTTGGGGCCTATGTTATTAAGCCCACACTAAAAAAAATTTAGAGGGCACCCATAGCTAATCATAGAGGCTCAGACCTAAGATTTTCTTTTTTCCTTCTCTGCATTGTTGTCCTGTACATTGATAGTGGTTTCAACATGCTTAACCTAAAAGGCTAAGATGGCTAGGTGGTACAGCTATACACTCCCACACTTGACAGAGGCATCCCCTCTCTCACATTAAAGGGGTATCTTCTTCAGATCTAATCTCAACAATGGCTGCTACTCTACACATTAGCGGACCACTCTAACCACCCACACGCTCCCCACTTTGATACTTTGATATGCAGCACCATGGGAAGCTCTATAGTGCTTTGGTCTCTACCATTATCACTATGAGCACCTCTAGATTGACATACTTCAAATTCTATGGGACACATTTATGAACTCTCACCAGTTCATTGGCGCCGTATGTGGAAAACGACAAACTCTGATTTCCATATCTCTACTAAAGCTACTAAATAACGGAGACAACTCTCTTTGTTCAGACTTTGAGAAGTTTCTATTCACAGAGAACTTCTCATTTGCCTACTCAACTACAAACCCCGTTACTGGGCCTTCTCAAAAAGTTCCAAACTCAGATCTATTTGTTTTTGTTTGCCTTTGAGTTTTAAGCTTGATGTCACCATGACACATTGTGTTACCCCCTCTCTTTCCTTCACTTTTCAAAAGACAAAAACTTTTAAAACTCATGGTTAGTTCCATCAATAGACTTTCTTCTTAGAAGAAGATAATGGCTTGACTTCCTTGGCAGACGTGCAGCTTGGGAACCTTTCATTTTCTTCATCAAAATATGGAGGATTTTATGATGCCATATTTGAAGATCTCCATAGTCGCCTGACCCCTAACCCTAGTGAACATGCTCGGAGGAACAAGGATGTTGAAGACCATACCATGTTTGGATACTGATTCAGGTCTACTCAACACCATTCAGAACCAAAGAAAACACAAGAGTTCTAAGCCAGATTCAGAACCAGAGAAAGCATAAGAGTTCCAGGCCAGATTCAGAACCAGAGAATACACAAGAGTTCTAAGCCAGATTCAGAACCAGAGAACCAACCAAGACCACCATCACCAAAAAGAGGAGAATTTGAAATAAGACTAACCCGATCAAATTCACAGAATCTTGGAATCTCTTACCGAACTGTCAAAACTTCTCCAAGAATTCCAAAAGCTTCACTCTTGAAGCAGTGCCTCCTAACTCCTAAGCTCTTTAACGAGCAATAAAACTCATCAAACGAAGGAGCAATAAGAAAAGGAACTTCTAGTTGGTCAACACTGTTACGGAAAACAGAAAATGGAAATTTTAATCGGCAACCTACCCGAGCAACATACTTATCACCAAAAAAGATGCTGAATAATCACTGGTCGACAAGATACTGAATAACCAACATACTTGCATGTGTTCTTACCTTAACACTTGCTCTCCCTCCGCGCCCGCTGACTAACTCCTTTGTCCCCTGCTTGTCCACCAAGGCGAGTTGAACTGAATTGATTCGAGTTAGATTGCTAGAAGTTTCCACCTAAAGATTGAGTGTTTCTGGTCGGTTCCCAACATTCCCGTTCATGAAGCTATGCCTAATGCTTATATCGGTCGCCAATCCAGCTCGAAAATTTCTAAGAGTAGCATACCCAAGCCATCCATGGCCAACTGATTATCAGTGGAAGTACCGTACTCCCTCACATCCACATGGGCTCGGTCATCTTATCACTCAGAACACTTTCAATGTTTCTGCTTGGCAGACGTTAAGAACCAACTGGTGTTCACAACCGTTTCTTTAGTTTTGAATCCAGTCTTCTACATGAAGAATGATGCGAAGAAGCTTGTCGAGCACCAGCAGATGCTAACAAATGCATCCAGGGTAAGACCAGCTAGTACTACCATAAAAGATCAAAGTTGTTCTGGAAGCGTATATGAAGAAGGTTACCAAGCTTGCCACAACATCTTCTTTGACATTACCGTGGACAAGTATCTCATTATCATCCAACAAGATTCTCCCAATCCCTTCATCCTTTATGCTACAACTTTCTTAGAAATAGACAATAGTCAACATGCTCGAACAAACGGGTACGTCGAAGACCAGATCATGTTTAGTTGCTTATTTAAGTCCTACTTAATAACGACCAGAATTCTACTTCATACCGACCAATCTGAAGTAGAGTCATTTCTCGAGCAAGCATCAGCACAGCACTCGCTTCCCCTCCTCAGGATTACAAGGCCATATCGATCAGAAAAACAAATTGCGCACTAGTCAGAAATGTCCTCATTGGCACCGGGCGGGTCTTTGGCAGCGACCTTTTATCACCGTCGGCAAAATCAAACAACCACAAATCATTGAATGCGAAGTTCATTGCATTACAGTTCGGTCGCGACATCATCGAATGCTAACTCTGCCCCTCTCTTTGGCAGAACCCAACTCTGCAAGGACAAAACCACTTGCCAATCGCACCATCAACTCCATTGCTAGGCTCCCCTACCCCATCGGTCGATAATAGCTCATTGCCACCCCCATCAAACTATTCTTTAGTGTCCTTATTGGCAACTTGTGGTCTTACTAATCGATTATGCAACATAGAAGCACCCGACCGAGTCACAATTTTAACACAAGTCAATAATTGAAGAGCCAGACCTGGAGCACTTATTTGGCTAACCAGACAATTCATACTTAAAGAAAATAAATAAACAAGATATGGAGGCCGGTGTATTACCAATCGATTAAATTGTATCCTGCTTGGAACACTATACACTACAACTAGTCGGCCTAAGTCGCTATACATCTTGGCACCCTGACTCCACAAGCTAGGGGGCTTCTGTTCTAGCTATCCACTTTAGGCCCAGCAAGTTGGGGCCTGTGTTATTAAGCCCACCCCTATAATCTTCTAGAGAACACCCATGGCTGCTATAAAGGCTCACAATTAGAATTTTCTCCTTCCTTCCATGCATTGCTGCCCCTGTATACTAACAGTGGTTTTAGTATGTTTAGCCTAAAAGGCTAGGCTGGCTAGGTGGTACAACTACACACACTCTCCCACACTTGACAGAGGCATCTCCTCTCTAATTTCCCCCTTACATTGAAGGGGTATCTTCTTCAGATCTAATCTCAACTATGGCTATTACTCTACTCATTAACGAAACACTATAACCACCCACTCATACTCCCCCCTTTGATATGCAGCACCATGGGAAGTTTCTATAGTGCTTTGGTATCTACCATTGACACTATAAGCACTCATGAATTGATATATTCCACTCTTCATGGGACACATTTATGAACTCTCACCAGTTCATATACATTTATTGCGACATTTTTTAAGAAATAAAAAATTATGATTTTTGTTTTTTTAACTTTATAAATTTGGGAAATACAAGTCTCATGTTGTAAGAAACTTTGTATCTTATATCATAAACTCTTCGATAATTGTAATGCCATTTTCTTTCTTATTTTAATGATAGGCCTCACTACTTTGTGTATTAGTATAATATATATCCTCTCTTATTAGAGGAGAGATATTCTCACTATCAAAAATTTTTATTACCATCTTACTTCTTATCTAATCACCATTAGATTAACATTTTGTCTATTTTCAAAAACTTTTTAACATTATCTCTCTTTTGATCCACCCCTCTTATTATATGATAGTAGAGAAGCCGTATAAATTTATATTAAATCTATCAACAACGGTTCCTCGGGCCTCAGACACGTGGCACTAGCAGTTCCTCCGAACACGACACGTGTCTCGTTGATAAAGTTTCTACACCGCCAACAACGTTGCCGGTTCCTTATTATGTATTTTGGGTTCTCCGGAAAAGACACAGAGAAGAAGAAATGGAAACGAGAGCGCGCCTAAGAGTTCAAAAGAAGAAACCCATTAAGCACAGGGGAAGGAAATTGTTACTGAAAAACTTTTTGGATTATCTCAAGTCTGATACTTTCATGTATGCTCCTCTAGTTTCTTCTCTGCCTTCTGATTTTCCCTCACTGGACACCTTTCCTTCCTCTGCTAAAGGTTTGACATTTGCCCATCAATTTTCATCTTTTTTTCTTCTTTTTTTGGTTTCAACTACTGTGGCTTTTTCTTTGATGGAGTGGTGGTTGTTTATGATATCAGTGGTGGAACTGAAAAAACCCATAAAAGAGAGCAAGTGGTTTCGGGAGCAAGTTGGGGAGTATCTCACATCTAATGTTTATATGTATGATCCCCTGCTTGATCTTCCTCACTCACCTCAAGGTACACTTCTATAAATACTTCTTTGTCTTTCTCAACTTTAATTGCTACCTATTATAGAATATGGATGTTCGCTTCTTTGTATCTGTAGGCTGCTAAATTTTGGTGTTGCATTTCATGGGAACGTTTACAGATTGGTAGTTTAGTTGAATAAACTTATTCAAATAATGAATACATGTCGTATTTTGTGATTCAACATTAAATGAAGCTGTCAGGCTTTGAAGATTTGGAAGTAGGAAAAGTGTGTATTTGTGTGGAAGCTTCAAAAAAGGAATTTTAGAAATTGTTATGTGTCAAGGGGGAGCCCGTTTATGGTCTTTCCTCTAATATGGTCCTCGCTTGGTCCAATCCTAATCAATATAAGAGGTCCTCACTCACATTTGAATTCTCATTAAAAATATCCTTCTTAGAAGTTATTTTGCATCTTATTGTAGAAAACAGCATGCTTGGTTGGAGTGAAAATAGGTAGGTGGAAAATACAAATGTATGTAGAGTTTAGGCTTTTTATTGTGTTCAAATACTATTGTGGAAGGAGCCTGGACCCACAGCCTGGCTAACAGAAGCGTCAATAACAAAACATAAGAAACAGGGATGTAAAAATCTCTTCAACGTGAAGAGTAATTACTCTTCACGGGACCTAGTTCAGAAAAACTTCCTTTATTAAAATGAGATTACAAGGATGTCTCTCCAGTACAGAAACCGAAGGAATACACTCAAGTTTTCTCCCCTCTAATTGGTGAATTATAAAGGTCAGCACACTACCTTGGTGGTTCTTCTTCTTCGACCATTGCGCCGGATCTTCTTTTTCTTCAGAGGATTTTCTCTCTTCTCTAGATTCTCTCTCTATGTGACTACGCTATTCAATAGTGTGAAAGTGATCCCTTTTAAAATTGAGTACTAGGGCAACAATGCTTATTGAGCCTAGTCTATCATGAGTCGCTGACCCAACAAATCTAGGGAGGGAGGACGTCTGAGCTCCTCCTATGTTAGTTAATTTTGCAAGGTTGTCAATCCGACACCTTCACAACAATCTTTTAACTTTTTGGTTGGTACGATCTTGGTGATTATGTCCAACCAGTTTAAGTCAATGTGGACTTTATCGAGTTGCAAGTGCTTTTCTTCTATGACATCTCGAATCCAATGATATCAGACATCTATGTTTCTAACCTAAGTGATAGGTTGAATTGTAATATGGTTATCACACTTTAGCACTATTTCTCGTGTATTGTGATAGGTTAGCGGTCAATGTATTGTAATATGGTTATTACACTTTAGCGTTACTTTTCGTGTTTGTGACCAATGTACTTCTACAGTTTAGACGGCTAGGATATGGCTTCCCTTGCAAAAGTAGTCTAGGTAACCCTAGGTTGACTTTCTCGAGTCTACATTACCTTCTTGGTTGGCTTATAAGCAAGCACACAACTCAGGTTTTCTTCTTCCAAAGCATAAACATCTATTGACTGTATCTTGGAGATATCTAAATATCCATTTGATAGCATAGAAACCAGCTTACAAGTGCAATTGCATGAGCGAGGTTTGTGTATATCATGGCATAGATAAGACTACCTACAACTGATTGGTATGGGACCTTTGACATTTCTTCTCTTTTTTCTTCACTGGTCGGACTATGCTTCTGACTTAACTTGATATGTCCGGCTAGAGGAGTACTTACCGACTTAGCCTAGTCCATGCTAAACCTTTTGAGAATTTTCTCATTATACTTTTCTTGGGATAGTCATAGCAGCTTTTTCAAGCGATCTCGGGCAATCTTCATCCCAAGTATTTGCCGTGTTGGGTTGAGATCTTTCATTGCAAGAGATTTACTCAAGGCTCTCTTGAGGGCAGCAATTTTCTTCACATCTTGCCCAATTACTATCTTGTTTATCACAGGCAGCTGACCCAACAAATACATAATCATTTGTAACCTGGATGCTGATCTTTATAAACAATTAGAAGAAACAGAAGGGGGGAGGGGAATCAGGAAGAGAAGCTTGAGATTTCAATGTTAATGGCATTTCGGTGCATGATCATAGTGTCTTAATGTTCTCTTTGAACATTGTATTAATTTTGTCTGTTAGCTTATTCATCCTCATTTATTGAGTACATTGGTAGCTTCATGTTGGAGACTGGAACATAAACAGACACACCAATGTTAAATGTTATGGTTGAAATGGAAATGGTGAATTCTTGAGTAAGGCAAGACCCAAAAAAAGGTATGTAGTACTAATTTGTCCAAGCAGCATGCAGGAGCATTTAACTAAAGGCAAGCTTATTTGCTTGCTCTTGCCCATCAGAAATATTTTTGCCTTGTCTCACTTCTTTGTATAATGTTCAATTATGCCTTGGAGGCATATAGAATGTGCTCTTGAGTAATACTCAAAGATGTTCTCCTTGCTTGAGACAATTCATATCTGAGCAGTGACATGCAAAAAGAAGAAAATGAAATATGAGGATATGATAATGTTGCTGATACCTGATTTTACGGTTTAACATTTCTGCTTGATATATCTTACTTTGATAGTGTCTTATCTTATTTTCTGTTCTCCTTGTCCTTTTTGTTTCTTTATAGAAAATCTTTGTCCTTTAAGTTTTAACCATCTTCCTTTCCTCATTGGTTGTGTTACGATTCGTGACCCTAACAGATTATATTAGTCATTGATTTTTTGTTGATCTGCTGAATTGCAGAACCTTTGCAGGACGGTGGAATGATAAGGATGGATGTTTCAACTAAAACGTCGCCAATGAAAGTCAACCAACGAACTGATCATTTAGGAAATGTGAACCAGAGGACTGAAAGTCATATTCCTCAAACAAACGTCCCTGATGAACATACTTGGGGGCACAAGGAAACCGTGAAGCACACTGTGTATCAAAGTTGTCGCTCAACTTCTGATTCAAGTAAAAGTCTTTGCTCCATAAAAACCTCTAGTTTACTTCTTTAACTGCTTTAGTTCGTTATCAATTTTGTTTGTCATTGTTTTGTCAATTGTTGCCAAAAATAAGATTCAATTTATAGGTGGACACGACAACACTTATAAAGATTTATTGGCCTTTTGATGGAAAGATGAGACCAGCAAATTTTACCATTTTTGTGATTAATGTGCTGGTGCCAAGTTGACATAGCATAAGGAATATGAGGATATCTTTGAATTAAGAATTGTTTTGCATATTTATGACTCTGCTTATATTTATGCTGCAGGGGTGACCCTCAACTCACAGCTGAGATCCCATGGTTGATTGAAACTTTTGGATATAAATGTAAAAATGGAAGATAGTAACCTATATGAGCTGTTGTTTTAGTTTTAGTGTATGTAGAATTTTACTTGTTATTGTCCTGTTTTTTGGTAGAATATGATGCTGTCATTGTTTATATTATAACTTAAAGCGTTTCATGTAATGTTTTAGTTATTTCAATGATAATTTGATCTTCCTTATCTTGGCAGGGAGTTTAATTCTAAATAAAAATTACTCACTTACTCAGATCAGGTTGGTGGCTTTTCCCATCAACTTTGTCAGTGAGTACCGCATTTTTTTTTTTAAACTGATCTTTGGCAACCACGAAATTCTAGATGATCTTTTTATCAACTAGACTTGACTAGTGACACTAAGACCAGCCGTGTTTCTTTCTACATGATCAGCCAACTAAAATACATTTTATGATTTTTCATTTTGGATAATTACAGGACATGGAACTATTTTTCCAAGAGTTAGGTGGTTATTTGGTTTGTTTTATGTTTTATTTTCCAATTGCTATGTTTTCACTAATAAATTCAAAAATGCGTCATTGTTCTCAATTTGTTTCCTATTTTTAAGATTTTGTGAAAGAAATGGGGTTTAGATAAGGTAGTATTTTTGTAATTCTCAGTGAAAACATTTTAACTAAAAATGAAATTAGAAAGTAAACCAAATAATATCTTTGTATTAATAGCTCAGCATTAGCTAGAAATAGAGCAGGCACCTAAGCAGCATGACCAGAGTGATACTAGTAATGAGTGTAGCCTATATCTAATTATCAGTCCTGTTTTTGTTCTCTATTTCTTGTGTCTTAATCAATCTTAAAAAAGCAGATTAAGTCTTGGAACCTTGGTTGTCTCTTCCAAGTTGAATAAATACTGTTTTGATAAAGATGATATTGATTGAAATGTTAAATGTCCCACAATCACGAGGTGTTTGAAGCTGGTTTGATTACTGTGTTGATTGAGATAAAATTTCTTCCAACTACAAAAAGAAAATTATGTGTATTTTCTCATTGGTTTTTTATTTAAAACTTGATAGGATTTTAGTAGTTTGATACATACACGTGAATGTAAATACATTTTCGCTGTTCGTTGTATCTTAATCTTTGTACCACTTTTAGGAGGCAGATAGTGAGGTTGTCCGTCATGTTTACTGTTTTTCCTCTTATTGCTGTTGAGATATTTCTTCTTAAAATGTAATTCATCTGTGCTGTCACTTTCATTCCAAGTTATGACAAGGCATTTGCATAATTCAAAGTCATTAAAAGGCTAATTGGATTAAAACATTTAAGACGTTTTCTTATCAAATTTCGATTTTGAAAAGATATGTTGTACTTGTGACTGACCGGGTACCATGTGTTTCTGGCCTACTCTACTTAAATTATCTGTTCTCTGTCATCGTCCTTCAAATTCAACTTCAACTTCAACTTCAGTTGTTAAAACTTAACATCCCAGCCCTGTTTTTGAGTTGGGTAGTACAGAATTAGAGCATGATGAGTCTTACTTTTCACTCTCATGTAAGTGAATGCAACTGGGGTCAGTGGTATTTCGTTTTGGAGAATTCTGGAGGCATTCTTCACGCTGCAAAATCACATGTAGCTAAAATCTTAGGTAGTAGACTCCTTTTATTTGGTCTCTGCAATAGTGCAATGCCATATTTAATGGAGACAGACACTAACATCTTCATCTTGTGGTTAATATAATACTACGACTTCACGAAGGATGCAACACAGTAAGAACCGCTTGTGTATTCCATTTGAGGATGAGCTTGGATATGTTAATTGATGTTTTAATATTTTAGGTTGAGTTATACTTATGTTGATTGTCGTTTATCTCATTGACGGTGAGATATTGCTCACACTTTCAGACAAAAACATATTCATAATTCAAATGTGAATAATAAAGTCTCTTATAAAATAAAAATAAACAAAGAAAGGAACACATGGATAAAACAGACTCATTTATATTTATTAAAAGAAAAATAAAACTGATGAATATGAATAATTTTTCGTATATTTTGATGGCTGTATGTATAAACAACACAACAGAGAAAACTTGGGGTTATTGTATTGGTTAAAAAATATGTGATAAAGCCAACAAAGCTCAAAGAGAATAGAGGGTCTTCTCTGATCCTAGTGCAATACCAATGTATAAATTCACTTAAATTTTTGTAGTTTTCAGAAAGAAAAAGAAAAAGAAAGTGATAGAATACAACACAAAAAATTGCTCTTGGTTTCATCATACTTTCACTATTTAAATAGGATAGCTATTGGATATAAATCTTCAAAAAAAATTACCCATTATGTAAACAATGTTACACATCAGTCAAGGGAGATCAAAATAAGAGAGATTATCATTCACTCATCAATTGATCTAAATGATAAAATAAACTCAGAATATGACACCACTAATCCAAAACCTCAAGGTTATATGTCTATGGATTTTTTGCACTTATATGATCCTTACTTGATTTATGTCTTATCAATTTGGGACTTCATACCACTCTTATTTAAATATTTCTAACATTCTCCACTTAAAGTGTGAAGCTCAACATCATGCTTCCTCTTGAGGACAACTTCTACAAAAACATCTATTTAAGTATTGGAGTCACACTACGTTCAGTGAAATCCTCTTCAAGTGTATGACCATTTGTAAATATTCATCTTAATCAAATTATTGGCTATGATACAATTCTTACAAAGCAGTCAAGGAGAGCTCAAAATAGGGAACATTAATATCCGCACATCAATGGGCTTAAGCAACAAATTTTTAACAACTAATTTGACATCATATCTTAATCCAAAACCTTAAGTCCCGTAAGTTTTTGGATCTTTCACACTTATATAGTCCTCGTTTGGTCTGTGTTATCCATACGAGACTTCACACCACTCATGCTTAAATATTTCCAATACTTTCATACAAAGTGTGAGACCCAACATCGAATAGCACAGAAGATAAAAATCCAGTAAGTCAATCTCGGTCATTATTGTAGCTCTATTGTACATGAAAATAATAAACAGCATAAAGTTTATTATAATAAGTTTTACATTATCATATCAACAGATATCGTAAATTAAAATTTATGATCGTAGACATTGGTCATCAAATAGCTCAGAATACAAAAAATAATCTTCTGTCTAACTACTTCTGCTATATTATTCTGTTAATGCTATTTATGTAACATGCATCGAATGCAGCCTTATTCAAGGAGTGGCGAAAATAAACTTGTACGAGAGAAATTTTACTCGACGGGATTGGACCTGATCGAAATGTCACTTTCGTTATGTGGCAGTAAGCAACTTTATATCAGTACAACCCCCGAGGATCTCGCAGTGGTAACTCTACCGTATCTGGTCTGCCACTCTCCATCGATAATGTTGTCTTCCTTATAGCTGTATATCATGCTCCTCTTCATTACACCATCTTTATTGATGTGGATAACGCATCATCTGCATCTCCTTGTTGCAGGCTGGTGAGGTGATTCTGTGTTCTTACCCTGATGCAGTTAAATTTCTCACCGTACTGTTAATTTTCGTATGGATGTTCATTTATTCGTTTAAAAGTTTATGGGCTCGTCGGTTCTCCTTTCACTGCTGATGAGAAAAGTTGCAGCAAATTTTTAACACTAGGATACGTGGTCGTATTCTGACCTAAAAAAAAAATCAAGATCCGCACGCGTATCCTGAGAAAAATAAGTGCTGTTGCACTTTTTCCCATCTGCAGTAACATGAGAGCTACATATCCCTTAGTTTATATCACATAAATAATATATCATTCACCGCCTAATACTGATGTTACAGAAATATATCTCGCTCATCAGTTTAAGCTTTTGGATTGAATTGGTTATTAGAACCGCATGTCACGGATTCAATCGTCATCGCCTCCCGTTTAATTCATAATTAATTCAGTATGGTGGAGTTTTTTAACATAAGTAAGTAGGTTTGTGCATTGTCCACTCTTCAAGCCAAATAGATTCTCGTGTGATGAGACGTGTTAGAAAAATATAAAACTATTAATGTAACCTCACCTAACAAGCTAAACTTTTGATTGAATTGATTCCTTACCATTCAAATGCAAAGAACTTTAAATTTACTTACGGTAATTATAAAAATTGGATGGTGGGGAAGTTTGTGGTGATTGCTGCAACATGAAGGCTGAAAATCCGGAGCCACATGCATCTCTTGAAAAGACTAGTCTTTTGAACTACTTATGATCATATGCTGTAGGCTTATCATGAATGATAAGTTGTGGAAGAAAAAGCCACCTTCACACGTGTATGCCTTTAAATGCATACCCCCCACCTTAAATCCCAGTGCATTGCATAAGTAGCAAATACCTGAAAATAAAAGTACTCATAATAGTTGCAGCTCCAATTATAGATAAAACAACTGCATCGGAGTTTGATGAAAATTTGTTGAATTAAAATTTCATTGAATATAGCTGTGTATATTTGCAATGATTGAAAAGTTGTATTAATAGCATTTGTATCCATTAAGTTAGACGTGTACGAGAGGGGGTCCATGAAATTCTGTTAGTACAATTTAACATTATTTTCAACAATAATAGTGCACTAATATACACTATGAATCTTTTCTTGGCTAGGCTGGTGCCTTGGCTAGTTTCAGCTACTCCTCCCGTTTGAAAAAGACCTGTTAGAATTTCTCTTGATAAGATTGGTCTCCATCTGACTATATGCTCTGGATATAATAAATGAATTGACTCCTTGTTTGTTGAATAATGCATTGAGCTCTAATTTTTCCTTTAGTAATAAGTAAAAATATGGTGTCCTTGTCTTCAAGTCTCTGGGCATGAGCTTTATATATAATACCACACAATCCTACTCTCTTCTTTTACTAAAATAGACCTTGTCACTTGTCAGCAATTAACATATATTTACCTTCTTATACTTGGAATTTAAATAGTCTTATTATCTTTCTTCTTCCTCCAAGATTGGTTTATTTGGTTAGTATATCTGTATATGTGTTTTCTTTTATTGCAGTTGCGGGTAGCATGATTTCTGTACCTATTTCTCTGATTTCCACCAATCCCTCAAAATGTACAAGATGGGACGCACGAGCACAGCTGTGAAAAGGACTAGGAGACTAGGACTGCATACGTATGGGAAAATCATTATTGAGATGAAGTTACGTAGCCGCTTTATTTTTTTATTTTTATTT